TCCAGCCAGGGCTTTGTCAAGCCAGGCCTTAAAAACCACTAAGGATAGAGATTCCACCATCTCCTTAGATAACCCATTCCAGTGCTTCACCACCACCCCTAGTGAAACAGTGTTTCCTAATATCCAACCTAGACCTCCCCCACTGCAACGTGAGACCATTGCTCCTTGTTCTGTCATCTGCCACCACTGAGAACAGCCTATCCTCTTTGGAACCCCCCTTCAGGTAGTTGAAGGGTGCTATCAACTCCCCCTCACTCTTCTCTTCTGTAGACTGAATAAGCCCAGTTCCCTCAGCCTCTTCTCATAAGTCACGTGCCCCAGCCCCCTAATCATTTTTGTTGCCCTCCGTTGGACTCTCTCCAATTTGTCCACATCCTTTCTGTAGTGGGGGCCCAAAACTGGACGCAGTATGCCAGAAGTAGCCTCACCAGTGCCAAATAGAGGTGATAATCACTTCCCTCGATCTGCTGGCAATGCTCCTGCTAACGCAGCCCAATATGCCGTTAGCCTTCTTGGCAACAAAGGCACACTGTTGACTCACATCCAGTTTCTCATCCACTATAATCCCCAGGTCCTTTTCTGCAGAACTGCCGCTTAGCCAGTCAGTCCCCAACCTATAGCAGTGCATGGGATTCTTCCATCCTAAATTCAAGAAGAAGAAGAAGATCCTCACAACCTTGAAAACTGGAGCAATAGAAAGGGGATGAAATTTAATAGTGCAAGGTAATGCACTTAGTGACGAACAACAAGAATTTTTGTGATAAGATGGGGATTTATCAGTTAGACGTGACAGAGGAAGAAAAAGACCTGGGTGTAATGGTTGATCACAGGATGACGATGAGTGGTGGCTGCTGGCTGGGTGCCCTGCTCTGAAGGCAGTGCTGCCACCAGCAGCAGTGGAGAAGTGTCTGTGTTTGATCTTTGTGCTGGGAGGGGTGGCTATAGGGGAGCTAAGGCAAATTTTGGGGTGGCTATAGCCCCCTCAAGCCCCCACTAGCATTGCCCCTTTGGCTAATAGAAGTAGTTATTACTGAAAGAGAAGTGTGCTGTCTCTGTTATGTACCATGGGGTTCCCTTTCTGTTGATAACCTCTCTACTGTAATCAATCTTGGGGCTGAACTTTCACAGATTAAAGTAGGTGTAAACCCTCACTTTAGGGTGGGTAATTGGTTAAAGTAACCCATAAGCTATAGATAAAGCTACAATCTTTGTAAAATGCCCTTTATTACCTCCCATTGTCAGTGACTTTAGACTACTTTGGGTGGAGGACACATTACAGCAGCAAGTAAAATAATTTTTTGTGCTAATTAGCACTCATTGAAACAGCACAGAAACTAATTTTCTTGCCCCTTTTTGAGGCAGGGATTGAGGCACATAGGCAGGGAGTGTTCGCTCTGTTTTGTAGCTAACAAAGGTACTTGAATCACTAGCGTTAGCAAACTAGTACTTTTACTTGGATCAAGACTAAATTTTTCAGCCATAAGTGCCTAATTTTAGGTAAATAAGTTAATATTTAGGCATCTAAATAAATGTAGCCTGATTTTCAGAAGTGCTAAATACCAACAATCTCCACAGAATTCAACAGAAGTATGGATCCTCAGTGCGTTTGAAAATCAGGCCAATTTTATTTAGCTATCTAAATATGGGTTTAATGCAACATATTCATAAATGATCTGGAAAAGGGGGTAAACAGTGAGGTGGCAAAATTTTCAGATGATACAAAACTACTCAAGATAGTTAAGTCCTAGGCAGACTGCGGAGAGCTACAAAAGGATTTCACAAAATGATGGGGTCTAAATTAGCTGTTACCACTCAAGAAAGAGAACTTGGAGTCATTGTAGATAGTTCTCTGAAAACATCCACTCAATGTGCAGCGGCAGTCAAAAAAGCTAACAATGTTGGGAATCATTAAGAAATGGATTGATTGATAAGACGACAGAAAATATCATGTTGCCTTTATATAAATCCCTGGTATGCCCACATCTTGAATACTGTGTGTAGATGTGGTTGCCCCATCTCAAAAAAGCTATATTGGAATTGGAAAAGGTACAAAAAAAGGGCAACAAAAAGTATTAGGGGTATGGAACAGCTTCCGTATGAAGAGAGATTAATAAGACTGGGACTTTTCAGCTTAGAAAAGAGACGACTAACGGGGGATATGATAGAGGTCTATAAAATCATGACTGGTGTGGAAAAAGTAAAAAGAACTAAGGGTCACCAAATGAAATTAATAGACAGCAAGTTTAAAACAAACAAAAGGAAGTATTTTTTCACACAGTGCACAGTCAACGTCTGGAACTATTTTCCAGAGGATGTTGTGAAGGCCAAGACTATAACAGGGTTCAAAAAAGAACTAGATAAGCTCATGGAGGATAGGTCCATCAATGGCTATAAGCGGAGATGATGTCTCTAGCCTCTGACAGGTTTCAGAGTAACAGCCGTGTTAGTCTGTATTCGCAAAAAGAAAAGGAGTACTTGTGGCACCTTAGAGACTAACCAATTTATTTGAGCATGAGCTTTCGTGAGTGCTTTTGCTAAGTAAAGTATGTAGGCACTTAAACCCCAGATGCAGGCACCCAAGTCTCTGAGCCAGAGAGAAAGTGAGAATGACTGTAGTCCAGTGGTTAGGGTGCCCACCTGAGAGGTGGGAGACTCCAGGTCCAGTTTTCCTACCCCAATCACTTATTATTTATCCGCAGTGGAACAGTTTCAGGAGAGAATGAGGGAGCCCCACATCAGAATATCCAATAGCTCAGTTGTTAGAGCACCCCACTAAGAGGTGAGAGACCCCTGTTCTAAAGTTATAAGGTGGGAACCTCCTCCTCTGGCCATTTTGGGTGGAGCACAACATTCCTGCAAGAAATGCCTTAGACGCTTAAGCAGCCTAGAGTCAGGCAGCTGGTTCCTGTTCTTGGGTCACTAAGCAGAGATAGCTGCCTCCCTGCTGCCAGACTTAGACGCTTATCTACATGAGAAGGGCAGGGCTTACCACCCATGCCTCTCACTGGCTACCTTACATGAGTTCCCACCTAGCATGTGACTTTGTGGATCACATTCTAAGGTGCCCATCTCTCCCCATTCATTGTATAGAGTGCCTAACTTGGCTTTGTGGATCGCAGTGTAGTTCCTGTACCCCAAAGTTAGGCCCTGTGATGCTCAGTGTTGCAACAGCTTTGTGGATCTCACTCCTCCTTTACCATAACCAGTAACAGACTGAGATCACTTGCTCGGAAGGAACTATAAAATGAAAGGACTTATTAAGAGACATAAGAATAATTTATAATCATGGAGAAACAAAGTTTATTTCTAATAAAATTAGAAAATTCAGTTTTTCTATATCTTCCTTTGTAAATACAGGGTTTTACATTAGCTGTTCCAATTCACTTCCCTCCACATGAGACAGTCCTGCTGAAGGAAAGCAGAGAGCTGGAGTCCTTACTGATCAGAGACCATAGGCTCTGTCAGTGCTCACCTCTACAACAAATTGCTGACCTGACTGTGCCCAAGAAAAAGCAGCAACTTTAGAACCGTACCTTCCCTGCCCCCAAGTATTTCTGGCAAGCGCCACTGAGCATTGGGATGTGGGGAGGTGCTTGACAAATGAATCCAGGGCAGAATTCTATTGTTTGATGAGGTGGCTATAAAAAAAAGTTACCAAATAAGTGAAGTCTTCAAGGCTATTTCTCCCATCAGGTTATTTCAGTTTCACAAACAGAGGAAACAGCTTTGCACTGTACTTCACTACAAAGAAAACCAATTGAAAAAAAAAATCATGAAACTCAATATCTCTTCCTTCCAAAAATGAATAAGAATAATGGTGTCTTGCAATTCTTTGTATATGTGACATCATCCCATATCTGAGCCCACTGTCTAAAAGCTTTCAAATGTTGACAGTAAAAACATATTATTTAAACATTAGAAAACCTGGGTCAAAGTCATCCCTGATATTACTCAACGACATTAAGCTCTGAAGATTGGACTTGAGGTCAGGAGGGGACACTGCCTGGTCATGGACTGGCAGCGACCATGCAGTCACCCACAATTAACCTGGCTGCACCAGATCAGTCATAATCCTGTGGAGCTCTTAGATGCTTCGAATAAAGCCATAGTGTGGTCATGGACACTGTGCTACATTTCTCCACTGTCTAAGCATATTGTTGTTGTTACTCCACTGACTTTACACTAGAGATAAATGTAATTCCTTATATTAAGTTGGTTTGAAATAACTTTTCAGGATTTTGGTCTCAAAAACACAATTTGCGGTGGGGGTGTCAATATTTTTTACACTAAAAGATAATCAAGTAATTTAAATCTTCATTCATGACAATTTTCCTTAACAACCGGATCCAGTAAATGAAACAAGTGAAAAAGTTGCTTGTGGTCTTTTTTCCTTTGACTCAAGGTAATACCACAAATTAAGAATAATTAAGAACAAAGGTGGTATAGAAAATATCAAACCTCTATGTCCAAATTCAACTCTGATATAAGACAACACATTTGCCATTAAAAGTTGGGTTCAACCAGGGGCAACGTGGAGAAGCCTTTGGGGACCAGGGACAGCCTGTGTGGAAGGGAAGCTGGTAGCTTGTTGGCAGGGAAACGAACAGGACCCTGGAGCCGACCCCCACCCCCGCTCATTCTCCTGTCTCAGGGTCTATGAGAAGGGGCCTCCTTCATCCTCCGTCCCCTAAGCCTGTCACATTGCTTCCCTGCTGGTGCCCCTGGCAGCTACCACTTCTTTCTTCTGCTCCTCTCTGAGCAGTCCAAGCTGGCTGGCTGCCACTCTGCCAGCAAGGAGAGCACAGGGTGAGGAAGAGGAGGGACAGGCTCCCTGCTCAGTGTCAGCAGTCCCGCTGGTTGCGAGCCATCGCTACAGAAGAACCTCTGCTCAGCCCCAGCTGCAGCCGGCCTGCAGGCAGGCTGCCTTGACGTGGGTGGTCATTTGCGAGACCCTCACCATCAGCAGACCTCCAAGCCCCCTGCACTCATTCTCTCAGACAATGAACTGGGTTGGTGGCTCCCGGTGAGTGAAGCTCATCCAGGGCCTCACTGTTAAGGCACAACCAGGCCCCGAGACAGTGTGAGGCTTCAACCCCCACCCCAGAGCGCACAGCCTGGAGCTGTGCGCAATGCGGCCTACACACTTTCCCCACTCCCAGACTGGGCAGCCTGGAGCTGTGCACAGTGGGGCCTACACACTTCTCTCTCTCTCTCACACACACACAGGGCAGCGTGGGGCTGTGTGCGATGGGGCCTACAAACTTCCCCAGCCCAGACCGGCAGCATGGGATTGTGCACAAAGGGGCCTACATGCTTCTCACACAGACACATACATGGCAGCAGGGGGCTGTATACGCTAGGGCCTACACGCTTCCCCAGCCCAGACTGACAGCAGAGGGCTGTGTACAATGGGGCCTACACACTTCACTCACTCACACACACACGCACGCACGACAGCGTGGGGCTGTGCACAATGGGGCCTATGCACTCTTCCTCCACCCCCATCCAGATTGGGTAGCATGGGGCTGTGTACTATGGTCCTCCCCACTTTGGAGCTGACACAGTCAGACTGTTTGAAAGGGCCTCCCTTCCTCGGCCTCCCTCACAGACCCCCCTTATTTGTGCAGTGCACAGGAGTCTCTTCCCAGGACTGGGTAAGGTGGGACATTCAGAAAGGGCTTTTCTGCACATACTTCCATCCCTACTTTTTGTTTGGGCAGTGCAAAGCTATGTGTGTCGTGACCTTCTCCCACTCCTCCAGGACTGAACAGAATGGGGCTGGGTGAAGGGGCCGTAACAGAAAGTGTTACTGCAGTGTCATCTGACCTGCATTTACTACAGTTGTATGAATGAAATGTGTATCTTGTTAACTGGAACGGGTATTTTTTTTTACATTTTGTTCAGCAGCATCATGATACTATCAGTACATGGGGCTTCTATACAAAATTTTAAGTTAGTTTCAGTCTATTATTACTTGTCTAAAGTTTTTAGTAGTATGGCATGTTTAACATTTGTACAGCAAAGATGCATGCATTACTAATTCACAGAAAATAATTGATTTTTTTAGAAAAGGAATTAGGGGTGAAAAATATTTATTAGGTCTTCTAGTCCTTTCTTCCACTTGTGCAGGATTAATCTCTTCAGTATAATTTGTCAAGCTATCTTCAGTTCTGATAGGAATTTAGCATTATTGTGCTTTCTCTGAACACTGATCTACTAATTCAGACTGCTACAAAGCAGAATCTCTAAATCTCAAATCAATAATTAGTAAATTATTCTTTTCTCTCTTTCAGCTTAGGTCCTCCTCAGAAAGAAGATAAAGGTAAAGCAAATTTGTTAGTCTCTAAGGTGCCACAAGTACTCCTCGTTCTTTTTGCTGATATAGACTAACACAGCTACCACTCTGAAACCCATCTTTGAATGGGCTTCCTTTCCTTCAAATTCCGATTATGCTTTAGAAAATTATCTACCACACCATTGTAGCTTTAGGGTAGAATTTTCAAGAAAGCCTAAACCCCCTTAAAAAGAAAAGGAGTACTTGTGGCACCTTAGAGACTAACAAACCCCCTTAGGCACTTTTAAAAACCCTAGACTTATTACTCTCAGTTTCCTTATCAGAAGGAGACAAAGTTTTCTCACTTCAGAAGATTGTTTTTATCCAAACAAGAAAACAGTTGAAGAAATTTTTTTTCTGAACCTGGCAATTTAGCCAATTTTTAAAAACCATTTAGGTCTGAACCTGGATTCTGTGCACAGGGACAGGCTCTGCCCACATCAAGCCTCATTGCAGGATGGGGACATTGGTCACTAGAATAGGTTTAGTTTAATTATAGACAACTGATTCTTTTACCCCTAATTATGCCATAAATTTTAAGTCATATACAGTTTTGACTGGACCTTCTTTGCTTAGTGTTCATTGGCTGTTTGCCCTCAACCCTCCCCCTCACTCTTCACTTGAGCTTCACTGCACACTTGACCATCTTCACCCCTGCCCTTCCTATTTGGCTTATCCCCTCTTATTATTAATTAGTATTATCATAGCACTTAAGTACTCCCTCCCCCCACACACAGAAAAAATGGAACATGACATTTGCTGCCATCACATTGTTCACTGTTTGTGTGTTCTACCCCATGTCTGTCTTGTATATTTAAATTATAGCCTCTTTGGGGCAAAGAGTCTTGTACTCTATTTGTACAGTGCCTAGCACATGGGGACCCCATTCTCTAGGAACTACTATAATAAACATGATTAATCATACGATATTTTGGAAGGATGAAGAGTAAAAACTGAGTGAGAGAAATTTCCCCACCATTGTTTTAGCAAATATGAAAGACATGATGCTGGCAGCCACTCTACACTAGAGCTCCTTTCATTGGGAGCGCTGGTGAAGCTGCAGTGGTACTAGAGCAATGGTATGCAGTATCCCTAAAATGGTCAGTGTGGGCAAGGCCTAATTGTCTCACTCAGAGATTTGATGGTCCAAGACATGTTGTAAACCTTCAGACTTCTTTTAAATTTAAATGAAATTTAGAGAGCTTTTGTAACTTTACATTTCTGATTTTAGTTTCCGGGTCATTTTAACTTTGATGTTTTATATTTTTAAAATCCTAGCTGTAATAGAATCATGTTAATCAATTATCAACACATTTTGTTGGTCTCATTTTCTTGCAATTTGGAAACAGTTTCAAACTTTGTATTCTGCAACCTTCGTAGTCTGAATTGACTATAACCTTTTATTCATAACTGCTACATTTCTAATCAAATTCAAGATCTTCCCCATCATATAAGCCAAATGTACATGTCTCAATTATGAGAAATTAAAAGGAGACAAGCTCATCTTCTGAACATTAGAGAACTTTGAAAATAAAATGCCTACAATCAGTAGACCAAAGTTTAATTAGTGAGGAAACCTTCAGTGCCTTTTGCTCCCAGTAATGGTTTTAGTGACAAGATTGTTCATTCTCTTTCAACAGAAAAATTTGAAAGTTGGCAGTGTGTATTTTCTATTATCCTATCTATTTTTATATCAAGTTCTGGGGAGGCAGATATGAAACTACTGAGCTGTACAGAAAACAGTAAAGTCACCACCAGCAGGTTTACTAAGCTTTTTATAACAAATGTTTTTGAATTTTTTTTTTAAGTATAAAAAGCACTCCACCATCAATTCAAAAATTTAAAATTCAAAGGATTTCACCAGGCTTTTGAGGTTAGTCTTGCTAAACAATTTTGTAATCATCCTAACCATATATGGAGAATCAAACTAAAGTAATTCCAAATGCATAAGGAAGCCTTTTTGTAAGATTCAAGTTGTTCAGCACTAAGTATGTGGGGGAAATTTCAGCTTGACATAAACATTGACCTAAATGCTTGGGAGCACTATCCTGTACATATCACGAAATATCTAGGAGGATAACATTCATTTTGCAAAATGTGTATCCCTTGTGTATTATTATGGTACCCACTATTGCTATTAATTGCATGTCAGGATTCCAGTGGTATCCTTAGGCAGCAGAAAAATTGCCTTTGACTAGGGCCCCCCCTACTGCAACTACATACAATATATATTTATAAAGTGCTTATCCAACATTAAAATGTACAGTTCCATGGAGACATCCCATCCCCACCTGGTACTTGCAAAGGAGAGACCTCCATACTTCACCTTCCTATTCCCATAAACATTTCCTACTTGAGCATACTGAGGCCCCTCAATCATCAGCTGGTCATCCTGAAATCATCCCTCACCTAGATTCCTGTCCCATAATTACCACTTAGCCCTCCAGACAAAATATCAATTTTCCTCACAGCACTGTTGAGAAAATTGGTTGGTTTTGTACTGTCTCCTGAAATTAAGACTATGGGGAACCAGAGAGGGAAATCATCTCCTCACCAAGATGCTCTTCTAACAGCACCTGCCTCCATTTATATCAGGAAGGGATTGGTTGCTCAGGTATCTCAGGTGGTGTCAGCTACCATGTTAAAACAAGAAACAGAAGGCCCCTGTCACAGGTCCACTCACCGCTAGGGCAGCATCTCCTCCTGACTACTCCAGTGATTAACTTGATCCTGGACTGACACCCCTTTCTGTCTTCTCATTCTCACTAGGCCCCCACTCAGTCTTTGGAACTCTACATATTGTGACTTTGCCTTCCAGACAGGAAACTGTACAGCCCTTCCAGGCTATCAAAGTGCCACTGGATCAGCTGTCTTCATCCACACCCCACCCAAGGCCAGGTCTTGTACCCCTTTCCCAGCAGCTGATAGGTAAGCCCAGGTTCCCCTACTACTCTGGGTTCCCAATCAGAGACCCTATGTACAACCATAATCTGCTTGCTCCAAGACCCTGTTGTTATTTCCCTGGACTCTTTTCTAATTCTCTGCCCTCCCATCCTCTTTGGGTTGATTAACCCAAATTCCCTCCTCCAAGGGAGTGACTACTTAATTCTGCCATCATCATTGTTCCCCCTCTCTCCCAGGAAATGACTACAGGCTACTTCTTCTACAGCAATCTTCTGACTGCAGCTTGCTGGCTTTATACAAACTTTCTACCATTGCCCAGCTGGCCTCAATCATCAATCAGCCTTTAAAGCCCTGGCTCTCCCTCAGGGGCAGCCTATCAGGGCAATTGACCTGATTTAACCTGCTCACCTTGTGTGAGGGTGGACACTGTATTACAGTATCACAAGTGGATGGAGCCAAACCATTAGAGGACTTTAAAAGTCAAAAAAACCCAACACTTTTAAAACTTCCAAGTAAATAAATGTATATGCTCTGCATAAGGCTAACCTTGAAATTCACCTAGAAGCTCCAGATAGCACTGAATGTAATCACCTGCCATCTGAGTGATGCAGGATGCTATGATCCCATAAAATCTGTAATGGCTTCCGCCTTTACTTTTGGTTTCAATTCAAAATGTGGGTTATAATCTTGGAAGCCTAGAATGATGGGGAACTTGAGCTATACACATTAGCTTTTGTTTTTCCTTGCTCTTATAGCATCTGTACTACTGTTGAGCCATGGCATAAAAAGCAGAAAAAAGGCTGTTGAAAAACTGAAGGAATAAATATATTGTCAAAAATTTCTTGTATTATTCTAAGGATTTAAAAATAGATAATTACATAGCTCATTAGTCACTTAAAAGTTTGGACTTTTAGGCACACAGTGTGTTTAGTAGCCCTGATTTAGAGACAATGGGCCAGATCCTGAGACAGATCCCCAGACAGAGCTCAAATTGACTAGAGCTATGTTGTCTCACACCAGCTGAGGACTGGCCCACTGTCTCATCCTCAGAGACGAGGGTTTATGCATTTATCTCCCAGTAGTGTTACTAAGAATTGCAGTCCAGCCTCCTCATGTCTCAACTTTAAATTACACTCTGCAAATAAATAATAATCCCTTTTTGAAGAACTAATTAGCTATTTGCCACCTTTCAGGAGCAGAATCATACTTAAACAGGAAAGGAGAAAGCAAAAGGTAAATTGTTATAGCTATTTATAATTATTTTACACAACTAAAAAAGGTTTAACATGAATTTCACATGCAGATAATTTTTCAAAGCAGTTGAAGGGAGGTACAGTGCTATGGGATTAGACTAGTGTGCATACCTTCAGAGTAATTTTTCAGGGCAAAAATATTTTGTCTAGGAGAGCTTCAAGCTGAATTCTTGATTTTTAATATTATTTGTGTATGTATTTCTATGCATAAAAGTCCTGCAAAGTTTAGTAATTTCTTACCCATTACAAACATATGCCCGTTATACAGATATGACTGCAGGAATGGCTTGCAGATTCACAATCCTCAAATACTTGGTCATTTCAACTAATAGCTAATTACAGATAGATGGCATTCTTTCTGGGGTTAAACGTAAGAATGTTTAAGTACTTTTTTCTGGCTTCCAAAGTGCACTGAGTGGATCAAATTCTGTCCTGATATAAGCAGAGGAAATGTCACACAATAGGCAAGAAATCAGTGAGGGAGGGTGCGTGTAACTATAATAAGAACAGACTTTCTTCCTTCTTGGTAGGAGCTAGGAGCAGTGAGGCAAGGTTAGGAAGCCCAGGTAAGGGGCCTGCACCCACTCTGGACACAGAATAGATCATGGAGACTAGACTCCAAGTGGCACCTCTCACCAAGCCATAAAGGAGAAGGAAAAGCAGGCTTGTGGGATGTAGCCAGTCCCAGAAGCAGACTCCCACCAGTGGGATGACCCTCTGGGGTCCCCTTGTCCCTCCCCAAACACTCTCCTAATCCCTTGGATACACAAGTGATATGGGGCAGATCATTAAGGACTAACTGGGCTAATCAATAACATTACAAGTATGTAATGTGCTCCAGCATGGTAGAGATGGTAGAAGCTGGCTGGAGGGGGTCCAGGAGCTGTTGGAGAGGAATGTGACACAATAACTGTAAACAGTGCATTTAATAAGTGTGAAGGTAATGGGAAGAAGGTATATGGGACCATATCTGGATATATGCTGATAAGGGACAAGTGTGGGATTTTGAGGGTAGAGGCATTCAGAAAATTCTTGTATGGTGAGAGGGAAAGAGATAAAGATTATGAAGCAACATTAAGAATGCTGAGGGAAATGAAAGGATTAAAAGAGGTGGACAGTAAGAATTGTGTTCACTTATGCCAGGGTTGAATTTGGCCCCTTGTCTTCCTAATCGGAAATAGCTTTATCTGAAGTATATATATGTTTTGCAAAGACCAATATCATAATAACTTGAAAGATTATTATACAATTGCTTATCCTGGAAAATATTTACCAAAAAGTCATATCTGAAATCTGTCAAATATCACATGGGGGTGGTTACTAGTCTAGTCCAAAATTATATTCCCATGAAAAGCATTGCAGCATTTTGTAACTTGGCACAGCCTGGAGTCTTTGATGTCCTTGTGGTGGCTAAAATGAACAAGTTACCATTGTTCTTATTTACTCATTCAGTATTATTTGCTGCATTTGATACTGATGATCTCAGGATGATTATTAATAATCTGTTCTCCTGCACAAAGCTTGTTCCCTGCATTGCTATGAACAGAATTCAAGGGTTAAACTGAATTGTTTACATAATCCACAGATTTTGGAAGTGTTAACCAGATCTGCTTTAGACTCTTGCCACATGAGGGCAGCTATGGGAGTTTTTTTTTTCTTTTTTTCATAGGACTGTATATTCTGTGCCAAGGAAGGCTATCTAAGAGAATGATAAGCTCTTTGCATCTTTGTGGATGGCCATGTGTATATAATCCTTGTTGATTTTCTTGCTAGTTTATAATGTGCATACAAAGTCTCAGCTCTTCAAATTATTGAAAAATAGAAGTTGTTTTTCTTCCAGGGAGTCTGACACTTAAAAAAAAATGTTGTACAAAGTTTTAAATTGTTAATAGGTAGGTGAAGGTGGAAACAGTGAAATTTCAGAGACTGAATTTTCCCATCAGAAGCACCATCATTCATTTGGTTTTCAAAAAGCAATTCAGATAATATTTGTACAAGAAATCTTTTTTTAAAGAGATGAAAGTGAATTTAAATGCTAGATTTGTGTGTATAGCGATTCAGCCATGTGATTTTATTGATATTAAAGGCAATTGTGCAGGTAAATCATGAATATGTACCACATATACTTCTGCGTTGCTCTGTACTATCTATCAAGTGGTTTATTGTTCTGTCTTTTGAAAATTATAGGAATTCTTTGAAAAGAAAAAGCTTAGATCAAAGATGAAGCTGCTAGGAGTATCATCACCCCCTAAAAGTTCAACAGTCAGTTTAGATCTCCTCAACCTGTATGTTGTTAACCAGATATCCACCAAGAAAGACACTGCTGGTGAGTATAATATAGTAATAGACTTTACAATTGGAAGACCCATTTACTGTAACCTATAACTGCTATTGCCTCAACTATTCTGTACTCCCTTGTAAGATTATAGCTTGTAGTGTCAACAATTCAATTTATCTTTAATCAAAATCTAACTGAAAGTGAAACAGCAACCACACAAAAATGTCAGAGGACAAAAGAGGAACCTAATAATCTTGGCTAGCAGCATAATTTCACCTTCAAGGCTGTGCTCAGCTCTGCACCTGGCTAAGTAGCATCATACATCCCTTTTTTTTGTTCCTTGTGACCTTCTTTTCTTAAACACTCCATTCATATACTACTTCCACTTTCATGATTTCTTTCATGGAACATACTATCACTCTGGAATAGCCTATCACCACCTCTACATCAAGTACTTCCTTCAAATCCCTCCTCAAAATCCACTTCTTTCACACTCTTCCTACACTGATCTCCTCAATAACGTCTCCATCTACCTTATGAACCTTAACTGTTGTACTGTATTGCATTTTTGTATGAATAAAACTGTAGAGGCCTTGCGTTTCAAGTTTTTTCATGGGCTGTGGGAATACCTTAGCCCTCAGGAACTAAATGAGAAGTGTAATAGAGCCTTGCAGTGCCCAAAATCTGGTGGATAAAAGAAGTGTATACTCTAATAGACTGTAAAATAGAGTTAATAATAAGCAGTTCAGATAGCGGTAATGGCAAATAAAGCAAAACGTATGTATTTTATATTGATTATGTAGAGTGAAGGGTGGGTTCTGCGTTCTTATTAAAATTCAGATATCTCAAATCTCTCTGTGACATAGGTACTAACATTCTGAACACTTTCATTACAGACAGAGTGAGAAAACCAGTCCATGTGGATCTGAACAGGGGCTTAAAAACACCTACAAGGAGACAGAATATAGAATTTCCCATGTCACCACAATGCACATCATCTAAAATAGCCCTGGATGACATCCAGTACAGGTACTTGAATAATTATGGACACTGGTCAAACATTAATGAAGTTCAGCAAAGATAAGAGCTCCATGATGCCATTTCTTCCTTTTGATTTATAAAATATATATTCTAAAAGTGCCAATCCAGGCACCATCACAAAATAGAAAAATACAATCAGAACAAGAGTAAAACCAGCAACTTCCACAACACCCCCCCTCCCCAAAGCCAGCCCTATAGATGCTCAATCCACACTAACAGCCCTTATTATGCTCCTCCCTCCCCCAAAGCCTGGCTAAATGGCTAGAGCATGCTGCATGGTCCCCTGGTCAAGGAAGTTGTGCTGTTTCAGACCAAAGGGAAGGGACCGGGTCACACAGAACACACTGCCAACAGACCCCTCTCTCTTTTTTTTTTTTTAAACTGAGATCAAACACTTCTGCTGATTGGTGGTGTGGCTCGATAACTCTGGGAGAGAAGCAGTTTCTCGAGTAGGTAGTAGGTGCTAAGCCATTTCAGTCAAAACAAACACCTGAAATTCTACCTGCAATCTACAGACAGCCTTTGCAGATCCTAGGGCACTTGTGTCATGTGCTCTCAGCAAGATACACTCAAAAAGTGGATTCTGCAGCAGCTTCTGGTTTCACTTAAGATATGGCCCGATATGGAACACACTGCATAGTCTAATGTTGAGCTAACAAAGACAGGGATCACAGTAGCAAGGTGTGCATCCAGAAGAAATTATTGCAATCTCTTAGCTGGAGCAAGACGGAAAACACTGTTGCTATGTGATTAACAGCAGCTGGAAATCCAGCAACACCTCAAATAAATATAGGCCATACTTACATAATAGGGGACTGTATCCTGGAAACAGTGACTCTGAAAAGGATGTAGACGTCATAGACACAAACAGCTGAACATAAGCTCCCAGTGTGATGCTGGGGCAAAAAGCACTAATGCAATCCTTGGATGTATAAACAGGAGAGTAGTAAATAGGAGTAGGGAGGTGAGACTGATACTGGAATACAACATCCAGTTCCGGTGTCCACATTTTAAAGGGGATTTTGAAAAATTGGAGAGGGTGCAGAGAAGTGTTATACAGGATGTCAGACTAGATGATCTAATGGTCCCTCTGGCTTTAAAATCTCAGAATCTATGAACGGTTTAAAAAGGAACAGCCGTGTTAGTCTGTATTCGCAAAAAGAAAAGGAGTACTTGTGGCACCTTAGAGACTAACCAATTTATTTGAGCATGAGCTTTCGTGAGCTACAGCTCACTTCATCAGATGCATACCGTGGAAACTGCAGCAGACTTTATATACACACAGAGAATATGAAACAATACCTCCTCCCACCCCACTGTCCTGCTGGTAATAGCTTATCTAAAGTGATCAACAGGTGGGCCATTTCCAGCACAAATCCAGGTTTTCTCACCCTCCACCCCCCCCACACAAATTCACTCTCCTGCTGGTGCTAGCCCATCCAAAGTGACAACTCTTTACATAATCAAGTCAGGCTATTTCCTGCATAGATCCAGGTTTTCTCACATCCCCCCCACCCCCATACACACACAAACTCACTCTCCTGCTGGTAATAGCTCATCTAAACTGACCACTCTCCAAGTTTAAATCCAAGTTAAACCAGAACATCTGGGGGGGGAGGAGGGGGGGAGGAAAAAACAAGAGGAAACAGGCTACCTTGCATAATGACTTGGCCACTCTCAGTCTCTATTTAAGCCTAAATTAATAGTATCCAATTTGCAAATGAATTCCAATTCAGCAGTTTCTCGCTGGAGTCTGGATTTGAAGTTTTTTTGTTTTAAGATAGCGACCTTCATGTCTGTGATTGTGTGACCAGAGAGATTGAAGTGTCTCCGACTGGTTTATGAATGTTAGAATTCTTGACATCTGATTTGTGTCCATTTATTCTTTTACGTAGAGACTGTCCAGTTTGACCAATGTACATGGCAGAGGGGCATTGCTGGCACATGATGGCATATATCACATTGGTGGATGTGCAGGTGAACGAGCCTCTGATAGTGTGGCTGATGTTATTAGGCCCTGTGATGGTGTCCCCTGAATAGATATGTGGGCACAATTGGCAACGGGCTTTGTTGCAAGGATAAGTTCCTGGGTTAGTGGTTCTGTTGTGTGGTATGTGGTTGTTGGTGAGTATTTGCTTCAGGTTGCGGGGCTGTCTGTAGGCAAGGACTGGCCTGTCTCCCAAGACTTGTGAGAGTGTTGGGTCATCCTTTAGGATAGGTTGTAGATCCTTAATAATGCGTTGGAGGGGTTTTAGTTGGGGGCTGAAGGTGACGGCTAGTGGCGTTCTGTTATTTTCTTTGTTAGGCCTGTCCTGTAGTAGGTAACTTCTGGGAACTCTTCTGGCTCTATCAATCTGTTTCTTTACTTCTGCAGGTGGGTATTGTAGTTGTAAGAAAGCTTGACAGAGATCTTGTAGGTGTTTGTCTCTGTCTGAGGGGTTGGAGCAAATGCGGTTGTATCACAGAGCTTGGCTGTAGACGATGGATCGTGTGGTGTGGTCAGGGTGAAAGCTGGAGGCATGCAGGTAGGAATAGCGGTCAGTAGGTTTCCGGTATAGGGTGGTGTTTATGTGGCCATTGTTTATTAGCACTGTAGTGTCCAGGAAGTGGATCTCTTGTGTGGACTGGACCAGGCTGAGGTTGGTGGTGGGATGGAAATTGTTGAAATCATGGTGGAATTCCTCAAGGGCTTCTTTTCCATGGGGCCAGATGATGAAGATGTCATCAGTATAGCGCAAGTAGAGTAGGGGCTTTAGGGGACGAGAGCTGAGGAAGCGTTGTTCTAAATCAGCCATAAAAATGTTGGCATACTGTGGGGCCATGCGGGTACCCATAGCAGTGCCGCTGATCTGAAGGTATACATTGTCCCCAAATGTGAAATAGTTATGGGTAAGGACAAAGTCACAAAGTTCAGCCACCAGGTTAGCCGTGACATTATCGGGGATAGTGTTCTTGACGGCTTGTAGTCCATCTTTGTGTGGAATGTTGGTGTAGAGGGCTTCTACATCCATAGTAGCCAGGATGGTGTTATCAGGAAGATCACCAATGGATTGAAGTTTCCTCAGGAAGTCAGTGGTGTCTCGAAGGTAGCTGGGAGTGCTGGTAGCGTAGGGCCTGAGGAGGGAGTCTACATAGCCAGACAATCCTGCTGTCAGGGTGCCAATGCCTGAGATGATGGGGCGCCCAGGATTTCCAGGTTTATGGATCTTGGGTAGTAGATAGAATATCCCAGGTCGGGGTTCCAGGGGTGTGTCTGTGCGGATTTGATCTTGTGCTTTTTCAGGAAGTTTCTTGAGCAAATGCTGTAGTTGCTTTTGGTAACTCTCAGTGGGATCATAGGGTAATGGCTTGTAGAAACTCGTGTTGGAGAGCTGCCGAGCAGCCTCTTGTTCATATTCCGACCTATTCATGATGATGACAGCACCTCCTTTGTCAGCCTTTTTGATTATGATGTCAGAGTTGTTTCTGAGGCTGTGGATGGCATTGCGTTCCGCATGGCTGAGGTTATGGGGCAAGTGATGCTGCTTTTCCACAATTTCAGCCCGTGCACGTCGGCGGAAGCACTCTATGTAGAAGTCCAGTCTGCTGTTTCGACCTTCAGGAGGAGTCCATCTAGAATCCCTCTTTCTGTAGTGTTGGCAGGGAGACCTCTGTGGATTAGTATGTTGTTCAGAGGTATTTTGGAAATATTCCTTGAGACGGAGATGTCGAAAATAGGATTCTAGGTCACCACAGAACTGTATCATGTTCGTGGGGGTGGAGGGGCAGAAGGAGAGGCCCCGAGATAGAACAGCTGCTTCTGCTGGACTGAGAGTATAGTTGGATAGGTTAACAATATTGCTAGGTGGGGTGAGGGAACCATTGCTGTGGCCCCTTGTAGTATGTAGTAGTTTAGAAAGTTTAGTGTCCTTTTTCTTTTGTAGAGAAGCAAAGTGTGCATTGTAAATGGCTTGTCTAGTTTTAGTAAAATCCAGCCACGAGGAAGTTTGTGTGGAAGGTTGGTTCTTTATGAGAGTATCCATTTTTGAGAGCTCATTCTTAATCTTTCCCTGTTTGCTGTAGAGGATCTATGAACTGGCAGATATGCACCCTCCACAAAGGGACAGATACAATTCTCACTATATGTTCTTGTTGCTTTCCCCAGCCTTCCACCATCATCTCAGCCTTATCCAGATTAAGTTCTAGCCAGCTAGATCGCTTCCATGCCTCAGTCTCTTCCAGACATTGGGCCAGGTGCTCACCAGCACTGGTTACACTGGATAAGATAGAAATTTAGAGATAAGGATGTCCTCTCCCCACCGCTCATGACTGATCCCATGGGGAAAAGGCAGTTGGAGGACTAGTGGGTGATTGGGAGCCTAGGACTGTTCTGGACTGAAGCGGGGGATCTGCTTTCGTGAGGAGGTATCTGTGTTGCCTGCGCTTGTAGCGGTCTTGTTACCCAGACAGTCCTGTCTTGAAAAGATCTTCTGAGGAAACGTCAATTATGAGTAGGAAAATAAATACAATATTCTAGGGTTGAAATAGTTTCACAGCAGTGCTTTAAGTTCCAATTAGATAGGTCATAAACATCTTCACCAATATAAAGGAGTTCGGAAATGTATTTTGAACAAACAAAAAGTTGTAGGTGAGGCTCTAGATTTTCAAGTGACTAAGGACTATTTCTTTACTCATGTAAGATCCTGCATGCAGTAGCTATATCTAAGGAGCAGGCCACTGTATTCAAACATTATTTTGAATCTTCAATCTTTCGGTGCCCAATTTGAGACATCTTAAAGGAGCCAGATTTTCAAATGGACCATGGTGGTTGCTCAGGACTCTTTGAAAATCAAGCCCTTTTAAGATCTTTCAAGTTAGGTACCCAAAATCATGAGTCTCTTTTGAAAATGTTGGCCAAGAACTCCAAATATCATAGGTTTTTCTTATACTTTGTTACAAGGATACAACAACAAGTATTAGAGAACAGAAGAAAGCATCTCTCAGACAAGATGAAATACCAACCTCAGGTAAGCTAAATATACATTTATAACTTGACATCAGTTTTGTAAACAAATGACCCTTAAATTGTTTTTTAAAACAATGCCTAATCTCACAGATTTTTGGTGTGAAGTAGAGCTTTCCTCTTTAAGCCTATGCTGCATCATTACAATTATCTTCCAAATTATTCTAGGTGGTTTCAAAACACTCAAGAACAGTCTCTGCTCTAAAGAGTTTACAGTAAGGACAAACAAGTACACAGAGGTTAGGGGAAAGGGAATGGGAACAACAAAAGGCAAACTATGTAAAATGTACATAAAGTCAGTTTGATTCACTGTGAGCAACATGGCAGAAATGAATCTTTAAATGTGGACAGGATATGGGCTGTGAGGATGAATTCAGAGGAGTGTACCACACACAGCAGGTCACGTGGAAGAAGACACAGAGGTCATTGTAAGAAGTTGAGAAATTGGCAGACAAAGCTGGGAGCACTGGCAGAGCCCAGGGGATGGGAGGCAACTTGACAATAGAAGATAAATAGGGAAAGGGCAGGGTTATACAAATCAAATCTGGTCCTCAGCTCTTTCTCTTAAAACACGTTGAAACAAATTCTGCTTCCACTACACCTGTTCAACTTGATGGTGTTGTAGGGGTATAACTGAGAAGAGAATTTGTCCCTGGAAAAATCCATTACAAGCATTTCCAAAAGTATATTGAATTTAGGGTAGATGTCAGTAAGCTATCATAAACAAATCTGTACAGTCTTTAAATGCATTTGCCAAAAAGATGTGGGACCACGGGGAAGCTATTATCTCACACATAGTTAAAGCATGGTTTGTTTGCATTCTTTTAGATGGACTGAAGGATGGTTTAGATGGTTTATCAACTTGCAACCCCCTGTACTGGTGGGTGCAGATGAGTAGGAGGTGGAAGGATAGCTTTATTATCCACCTGGGCCTCCACAGGAGGCTCCCTGCTAGAAGATGCCCATGAAAGAAGCTGAATCAGCACTTCTCCAGAAGGCCTAGCCCGACCTCACCCCACTTTTGCAGCTCTGCTGGCCCACTCCCAGGCTCCTTGGTGTAACAGGGATTGCTGGCAATTCATGACACTGCACTCCTCAGACTGTCAACAGCTGAGAGCCTGGGTTGTGTCATCTTGCACCAACAGAATTCATTAAGTGAATCGGGCCTATAGGTGAGACCATACGGACTTGTGCTCCACACAATTAGGCCCTTTGTTTCTGTCTAGGCTAACTGAACCATGTTGTCCCCAGTGTGTCACAACAAAGCTCCATCATCATTTTTGCTTTGGTAGTGTGAGTGTAAGGCCTTAGAATGCAAATATTGAAGTATTAGATCTGTGTAAATGTTACACTTCTAATAGCTTTTATGAAAGGCATCCTTTGAATAAAGTTATCAGCTGCTCAGATGCAGCTACTAAACACCAATTCTTCTATGAATAAAGAGATAAAATCTCTCTAGACCTAGCAATTAAGCAAAGTTCTCTACTGGCATAATCCACTGATTCCACTGCAGTTATGCTGGTGGAGAATTTGATCCATTGTTCCTAAAGTCATGCAATCGGGCCAAGATTTTTAGACAAAGTAAGAAAGATAAACCTATTTGTAGGATTAAATTCTTTGTCTGAGCAAAGGAGAATTACTTAGTCTAGGTTAGGTGTTTGGCTATGAAAATATATTTTACAAAGATCACAGCTTGCAATAAATTAATTTCCTAGATATAACTTTAGTAAAAGTCTTCCACTACAGTTTTATCCCTCATACTGGTTGGAGAGAAAGAGGCCATTATTTTAGGTTGGTATAGAATGCCCAGAACTCATTGGGGGCAAATTGTCATCTGGGCCTGTGTCTGCTCTTTATATATGCAACGACTTGCTAACACTGTGCACATACAAGTGTCAGGCTGGTTTGAAAAGTGTGCACCAGCATTTGCACCTGCATGCTTGTTTGCATCCAAAAATGGAGGCACTGGGCTAAAAAAATATTAAAAATAAATAATTGCATTGAGTGAAATTTTTCCATCCCCCACAAAACCTGAAAGTGGGATTTGTACAAAGTACTAAGCAGAGAGGGTGGGTCTGAAGATTCATATTCTCCAGCCTATTGGCAAGCCATAGGATTGCAATGCAAAGGCATTGTCCATTCATTTGAACAGAAGACCTTGCCACTATGTGCTCCTTATGCTGAGTGTAAGGGCAACCAGGATCTGTGTAGTTGCAGATCCCATAGCACTTCACCCAGTCTGCCTCCAAATCTCCTTTATATGCTGACTGGCTTGAGCCAACATAGCACCCTCCCTCCCACAGAACAGCTCTCCAGCCTACAGTAAAATAGAATATATTTTGTTAATTTAAGCCTCAACTCAGCAAAGCACTTTAGTACATGTTTAAAGTTAAATACATGTTTAAGTCCATCTCCATTCATCATAGCACTTAAGCACACGCCTAACTTTACGCATGTGCATAAGTGCACTGCTGAAATGGCATTGGCAGAATTTTTTTTTTTCTTCGTGAAAAGGTTTATATCTGGATAGGTCAAATAGGTTTACGTTTTTCTTGTAGTAGGTACATGTGTAATGTATTCTGTAAAATAAAGAATTTTACTGAAAGTGTAGCATTAAACCAAAATATTTTTAGATAAATAAAATGTCTGTTGTGCTTTACTTAAGTTATCACAAGTTATGGAATCAACTTGCACAGACTCTAGTCTTGAACATCTGCACAATCTAGCAGCAGACTGTAATTCCTATCCAGCATCCTCTTCAGTTTCCTGGTCTTCTAATTACAAACAATCTACAGAACAAGATTTCAGAACGAACCTAGCATGCAGCCCTTGGGAATTGGCCTACAAAGAGGAGAAGCAGATCAAACAGGTTTGATATGTTGTCACTTCAGAGGAATTGTATTCAATGAAATTTTTTCTTTTGGGATAGGTCTAGCGCACTGTTTCCCAAACTTGGGACACCACTTGTTCAGGGAAAGCCCCTGGCGGGCCGGGCCAGTTTGTTTACCTGCCGCGTCCGCAGTTTCAGCCAATCGCGGCTCCCACTGGCCGTGGTTCGCCATTGCAGGCCAATGGGGGCTGCGGGAAGTGGCACGGCGAACCGCGGCCAGTGGGAGCCACGATCGGCCGAACCTGTGGACGTGGCAGGTAAACAAACCGGCCCAGCCTTCCAGGGGCTTTCCCTGAACAAGCAGCATCCCAAGTTTGGGAAACACTGGTCTAGTGAAATGGCAGAAGGTTTCTTGCCGATTGGTGCAAACTACATTTAGAGTGACTTAAAAAAAAAAATTGATTGGTTTGAAAATAAGCCCAGGTTGATCTTATGAACATGCAGAACTTTCTCTGAGTTCTTACTCATGAATACATAACAATAGTGTAAAGGCTAAGCAAGCTCTATGGACTACACACAGATGCCGGCAAGTGCTCTGTGGAGAGCTGGCTGGTAATATGGTGCTGACTCTCCTCTTTCCCACTCCTGCATTGAAGTAAAGATAGCTAAAATGTATGAAATATTTTCCTAATATTACTCTGTACTTGCTTATGTGGGAATCTAATTTGTGATCACACAACATCCTCTTACACAATCTCTCTATTAAGATGTTGTCAATGCTCTGAAATAGTTTGAGAACGCCTGCTCCAGAGGATACCTTTTAACTGAAATCAGTATTTTGATATACCATTTTAAGGCAATTAATGACAGTTGTTTATTCTATTTTGAAGTTTTATTTTGTTTTAAATATGAAAAATCATGTGAAAAAAAATACAATAGCAATTATGAGGGTTTTTTCCTGCTAAAATATATTTATTTTTTAGAAAATAATTTTGTCACACATATGTAAACCCTTTAAATTCTATTGGTGATGGTATCTTAATGCAAGTTCAGGAAGTCAGAACTTTGTAGTTCTGATGGCATTGGATGCTAGATGGACATTTGAAGGCCTTCTGTTTGCAAGCTGGCTGACAGCCAGCATTTAAAATACGACCTGCACTGAAGTCAGTTGAGACACTTATGTGAATAAGGTAAGCAGGATTTGGCCTGTTACATAGAGCAGTACTATGAATGTTTTCCTCCATAATGAATTTATGGAAATAAATAGCATTATTCCATTTTTTTCAATTGTATTAGAATAAAATCTTGTTTTTCCTCACAGAGATCGAAAGGACATTGTCTTGTTGAATTTTATTGTACAAAATTCAAAATAATCACAATAGTTCATATAGTATATATAATGTGAAATGTCATTTTAAATATTAAAATTTAACTATTCTCTATATTTAATATTTTGGCAGTTTCTACCATTTTCTCAGTCGGGAAATATTCTCTCTCAAGACCCTGGGGTTTCAAAATCCCAAAACAGGCAATGCATTTTCAGCAAGTCCAATACAGCAGGGCCATTGGGAACATTGTTTAAGAAATTGAATAGGTAGGCAGAGATTTTGTTTGTTTGTTTGTTTTAAAAAAAGAGTCACATTTAAAAAATAAGAAAGGACTTTCAAGACTCATCTGATTATTATTTTTTATTGTACTTCAATGCCCTTTGAAAATTAAGTTGGAATGAAAAGTAAATGACAAAAGTACCAGGTTACTTACAAATTGCTGAAATACATCAAAATGTTATTTTAGTTCAATATCCTAGATTCAATTGTTCATTTTCTCACTACATTATTCAGTAGTGTCACTGAATTCCTCCATTACACATGTAATTTGCAGAACAAACAAAAGCATGCACTTTCCTCCTGCTGGTTAAATAATTCTTCTGGTTTCTTTTTTAATTAAGAATTTAATTTTTTTTCATGAAATCATTCCCTTTTCACAAAGGAGAAATAGAAACATGAAATATAGCGAGCAGATCGAGGGACGTGATCGTCCCCCTCTATTCGACATTGGTGAGGCCTCATCTGGAGTACTGTGTCCAGTTTTGGGCCCCACACTACAAGAAGGATGTGGATAAATTGGAGAGAGTCCAGCAACAAAAATGATTAGGGGTCTGGAACACATGACTTATGAGGAGAGGCTGAGGGAACTGGGATTGTTTAGTCTGCAGAAGAGAAGAATGAGGGGGGATTTGATAGCTGCTTTCAACTACCTGAGAGGTGGTTCCAGAGAGGATGGTTCTAGACTATTCTCAGTGGTAGAAGAGGACAGGACAAGGAGTAATGGTTTCAAGTTGCAGTGGGGGAGGTTTAGGTTGGATATTAGGAAAAATTTTCTCTAGGAGGGTGGTGAAACACTGGAATGCGTTACCTAAGGAGGTGGTAGAATCTCCTTTCTTAGAAGTTTTTAAGGTCAGGCTTTACAAAGCCCTGGCTGGGATGATTTAATTGGGGATTGGTCCTGCTTTGAGCAGGGGGTTGGACTAGATGACCTCCTGAGGTCCCTTCCAACCCTGATATTCTATGATTCTATGATAAATAAATATATTTTGAACAATGTGCCAATAAGAGAAAAACTTTACCTATTGACTGACTGCTTAGGGCCATATGCAGTTTATAATAAATATCTTATTTCAAGTTTGTTCCAGGGGTTCTCTGCATGTCTCTTGGGTTCCTAAGGAGTCTACTTTTTCTGCCCAGTTTATTGCATCACTTGCTCTCAAGTCCCTGGTCCACCACCTGACTGAGGAGGGCAAGACAGAATGCCTTTTGGAATCCATCCTCATGTTCCAACACTGACTAGAGTGATCGGGGAAGCACAGTAATGGGAGCTCTTCTCAAGTACACCCAGTCTATTTGCTTGCCTCTACAAGAAAGGGACTGTAGATTTCTCACTTCATGGCAGGCAGCACTAGCTACAGGAACACTGGACTGACCAATAACTTGATCACCATAAATTTAACTTATCTTTGTTTCTCACCTCTCCCACCTTTTCCCCAGCTATCTAAAATGCAGATGATTGAAGTCCTCTTCCTGTTCTCTCACTCGGACCACATCATGCCCATCCTTGAATCCCTTAATTTACTTCCTGGCCCTCATTGCATCACATTGAAAGCCCTACATAATCTTGCCTCGCCTACATTTCCACTTTCATTTCCTCATGCCCCTTCACTTGTGCACTCTTTTCAATCCTCTCTTCTTACTGTTCCCCAGTTGTCTCCTTCTCCCACTCAAAGATTGTGCTTTAAGCTTGGAACACTTTCCTCCTCTTTGCTGAAGAAATGCTTCTCTCACTCCTTCATATCTTCCCTCCTCCATACTGGATTCTCTTCATCTATAATCCCTACAACCTCTTATCTGAACTGTTGTCCCACATCTTATCTTGCCTTTGACTGCCAGCTGTTCAAGGTAGGGAATGTGTTTTTCATGGTTTGTAAGGTACAGTGAAAACTGTGCATTATCGGAGTTTTATTTAAAATAACTATTTAGAGTATTTGCATTTATTTATTAAGCAGTAACCAAAAACTTGGATGTAATGTACAAATGCCAGATGGCTATGACTAAATAGTAGTAGACTGGGTCATAGATGAGCACTTACTTTTACTTAGCATTAAATAGTGTCACTTGGCGGTGTTATAATGCTCACAGGTTAGCTTTGGTCAACACTACTGAAAGCCATTTCAGAAACAGCATGGTTTTACTGATACCACTTGAAGAAAAGAGAGACCAGGACAAAAGTTGTGGGAAAATGAAGTGAGAGGAGATTAATTAGGAGCTTCAGGGACGGTAAATCAGCTGAATAGGAGGTAGTTAAAAGAAGCTGAGGATAGCAAACAGTAGCTGGGAGGAGGGCAGACGCATAAGAGCAGAGCCCCTGCATTCTTTGTTGCTTCAGTTCTGTTATGTTCTTACAGAGCTGTGTCCGTAGGTTTCTGCAGATAACGTTTTCCCTCCTCATTTATTTAGTCTCTTAAAACTTAAATGTTTGCCAGTTTTTACATAAGCAAAGGACACTGCTTTCACCTTAGGATCATTTTGGGTCTTTGTTCAATTTCTAGTATTTCCTAACAGACACTCCAAAACTTTTATCATAGTATGCAACACTGTGGCATTTCTCTTTCTCCGATGGTCATGCAGTTGTGCCCTGCATTGGTGACCGGACTCAAGGATGAAATATCAGCCATTAATTTACAGTCCCTTGCTTTTGTCAGTTCTCAGAGCCTTAATGTGGGTTTGTACTAAGATACCTCTGTATTTCTGTTCAAAAACTATGCTGCACATGATGCATCCTTCCTTACTGTGCACGAACATGTGCTATGTGCATGATTTTTTCCCAAAGGCTCTTCACTTGGTCAAAATCAAAAACACTTTTCACCAGAACACACCAACGCACGTCTCTCCAGTGAGGAATTTTTCCAGACATTTAAGTTGTGTGGTGTTCAGGAAAAAAGACTTATGCACTTAAACAGTTAAACTTATTTACTTAGACTCCCTGAAATATTATCCTGCAGGCAGGATCCGAAGCTGGAAAGTTTTAGTTTGAAAGGCTCAAGTGAGCTTAGAATGGAAATATTTATGCAGCCTTAATTATAGTGGTCATTAATGTCACCCCTACTGTATGCTGAGGCTGTACTATGGGCAAAAGAAAATGTATGTTTGGTCCCATTACTACTTTATTAAAAAGTTCTGTGCCAAATGTAAATCACTGCCACTAGATACAAATGGAATTCCCCTCTGTCCAGAGAGCTTGCACAAGGCCTATTGACCACTTAAGAACAGTGACTTAAGTGGTACAGAGACTTTGTATGGGCCTTCTGTATAGAGGGGAATTGTACCCTAAAAGAACAAACCACCTTCTAAAAACCCTAAAGAAGATTGTCTTGCATTTGGATGCTGTGCACAGTCCAATGTCTAATTCAGCTGAGTGGAGCAGCAGTGACATACAGTGGGTGATTTGGTTATTCACAGCTCTTTGTGCAAGAGGATACATCTCAGGTCTGCAGTTATGTCCAGAGGTGGCGTGAAACCGAATTCTAATTCTCTTTAAAGCTGCAGGTCTAGGTTCTAAGTTTTTTGCCTTACTATAAAACCACATCTATAATACAGGAGGATTTATCCATTACAAGAACATGCGTTTTTGATAGAAGTATGGAGAGCATAAAGAGTAAAGGTTTTTTGAGATTCTTAACTTAAAATTGGTAATTTAATGTTTAAGCATTTAGTGTTTTGCTTACTTTTGTACTGAGCAGGCTTTTTCTCTTTTATTTTTTTTTTCCCCTCAAAGTCCAGAATATATAAATTCTGTTGGTAATACTCCAGCTTTAATTACTGGTAAAGATTCTGGAAGCAACAACAGAATAAAAGAGCCATTATTTGGTATTGTGAAAGAAACAGCAGCAAACGACACTCACGGTGAAAATGGTCTAGCACTGTCTGAAGATGAGAGACCGCTGTTTCATGATATTCCTTCCATGGAATATTGTGGTCCTTTTGTTAACCAAGGTAGTATCCGCCAGTTATTTACAGATCCAGATGATATGAATGAAATATCCTACAGATGTAGCCCTTATAATAGAGAAATTTATAACATGACTGAATGTACTGAAAGGTATACTGTAGACAGATGCCTTAAAGGGATTTTCACTGTTCCAGAGCAGACTTTCTTTAAAAGTAAGAATATTTCAAGTGCAAGCCATAAAGAAAATAAACAGCCTAATAAAAGCCACTTGAAAGAATATCCTGATGGACATGATTACATTATATCTTCTGAAAACCAAGAAAATCCTTCAAAATCTGAAAGAACAGGTAAGTATCAGTGATGCAAGGAAGTAACATACTATGCTTCCATCTTTTTGGCATTGTTTTAGTGAGCCACGGGATTTGTATGTCATAGTGAGAAAGATGTTATGAAACTAGGCACTGTAGTATTTTTGTTTCAGGTAGAATTATATAATGGTAATCATCTTATGAGCTAATATGTCACTTAATAGTAATTTCTGATCAAAACTGTGATGGAATCATTTGTTTTAATTCAAAATTGTATTTTAAATTCAAGGTTTAATTTTTGTTTTTAAGGAGCATTTACAAATCACCACAATCACAAGATTAGCTTAGAGGAAAAAATGTGGAATTATTCAACAATTAATAAGTAAGTTTCATAAGCAATTGTTAAATTAAAATGTGATATCTGTATATGATAGACTTGATGGGCGAAATCCTAGCTCTACAGCAGTCAATGGCAAAACTCCAATTGACTTCAGTGGGTCCACAGTTTCACCCACTGAGTATAAGAACATGAAAATTTCTTTAAGATTATTAGCTTTGCAGCTCATAAGTCTGCAAATATTTAATATACAAGATATTTCTGAACATGCACCATCCTCTTCTATATAAAATGAGTATTTAGATTGTGCCTTTCATACTCAAGCTCATGCAAAGTGCTTTAAAAATAATAAGTTAAACAGACAGTGTGACAATATTTTTAAATAAAACAAACAGCCATTATTGGCATTATTGAGCAGACCCATCAGTTACCTCAAGGTTGCTCAAGTACCCAATGTTACAGTCTTTCCTCTGGAGCTGTCTTTTTTTCATTTTACAAAGTGGTGTTGTCTTCAGTAATCTTTAACAGCATACTGTTCCAGAAAAATGATGTTTATAAAATCAAGTTCTTTGTATTATATCTTTAACAAATTGTAATAGCGGGATGCATTTTGTAATTAGAGAGCAGTGACAATGAGCTTACAAATAGCAGTATTGCTATGTTTTATGAAAATAATCAAAGTGGACCATAAGTTTATTAGTAATATTTTTCATTTGAGGTGTAAATAGATGCTGAAAACCATAGCATGAATCTCTTGCCTTAGGACCTTATTTTGGTTTTATTCCTTAGTGACAATGCTCCTCTTGAACAATTCACTTGTGAGTGCTCACAAGTCTTTGGATTTGAAGAGGTAAAACAGTTTTACTCAGCTTTTGCTTAAGGAGACAAATGTACTTTTGTGCTATGTACTACAAGATGTTGGTGCCAGGCACTTTGGATCAGATTCTTTGCTGCAGCTCCAGAAAGCAGCAGGCAGCTACGTTTGGGGTGGGTACTGTGAGAGAGGTTGCCACATACCATTTCCTGATATGAGAGTGCTCTATAGCTGTGCATATGTAAATAGCTATATAGATAAAGGGCCAGTAGATGGCATTCAAAAATACATAGAATTGTTCATCGGTTTTGTAGGCCCAATAGTACGTGTGCACTTCAGTGGCTTCCTCTGTGTTCTTTACATGGAGCTCTTAACATTCACCACTTGATCCAAAATATGATGCAAGGATACAGCAACTCTATGGGAAAGGGGTTCCTGGCCCCTGATACCTCTCAGCACCAGAACCAGGGCAGCCAGGGGGCCATGGCTCCCCACTTTTTAACAAAAATAAGCACAAAATTCATGTCTCCTTCAGATTTTTCCCCCAGCAAAATAACAGATTCTGCTGGGGAGGTGCTGCAATTACATAGAATCATAGAATATCAGGGTTGGAAGGGACCTCAGGAGGTCATCTAGTCCAACCCCCTGCTCAAAGCAGGACCAATCCCCAATTAAATCATCCCAGCCAGGGCTTTGTAAAGCCTGACCTTAAAAACTTCTAAGAAAGGAGATTCTACCACCTCCTTAGGTAACGCATTCCAGTGTTTCACCACCCTCCTAGAGAAAATTTTTCCTAATATCCAACCTAAACCTCCCCCACTGCAACTTGAAACCATTACTCCTTGTCCTGTCCTCTTCTACCACTGAGAATAGTCTAGAACCATCCTCTCTGGAACCACCTCTCAGGTAGTTGAAAGCAGCTATCAAATCCCCCCTCATTCTTCTCTTCTGCAGACTAAACAATCCCAGTTCCCTCAGCCTCTCCTCATAAGTCATGTGTTCCAGACCCCTAATCATTTTTGTTGCCCTTCACTGGACTCTCTCCAATTTATCCACATCCTTCTTGTAGTGTGGGGCCCAAAACTGGACACAGTACTCCAGATGAGGCCTCACCAATGTCGAATAGAGGGGGACGATCACGTCCCTTGATCTGCTCGCTATGCCCCTACTTATACATCCCAAAATGCCATTGGCCTTCTTGGCAACAAGGGCACACTGCTGACTCATATCCAGCTTCTCGTCCATTGTCACCCCTAGGTCCTTTTCCGCAGAACTGCTGCCTAGCCATTCGGTCCCTAGTCTGTAGCTGTGCATTGGGTTCTTCCGTCCTAAGTGCAGGACCCTGCACTTATCCTTATTGAACCTCATCAGATTTCTTTTGGCCCAATCCTCCAATTTATCTAGGTCCCTCTGTATCCTATCCCTGCCCTCCAGCGTATCTACCACTCCTCCCAGTTTAGTATCATCCGCAAATTTGCTGAGAGTGCAATCCACACCATCCTCCAGATCATTTATGAAGATATTGAACAAAACCGGCCCCAGGACCGACCCCTGGGGCACTCCACTTGACACCGGCTGCCAACTAGACATGGAGCCATTGATCACTACCTGTTGAGCCTGACAATCTAGCCAACTTTCTACCCACCTTATAGTGCATTCATCCAGCCCATACTTCCTTAACTTGCTGACAAGAATACTGTGGGAGACCGTGTCGAAAGCTTTGCTAAAGTCAAGAAACGATACATCCACTGCTTTCCCTTCATCCACAGAACCATTTTTTTGCCCACCAGGAGCCGCTGTAGTGTCAGAAGATAGGGGAGCTGGCTCACCATGGGAGTAGCTTGAGCCCCAGAGCTTGAGCCCCAGTGCTCCCTGTGGGGCTGAAACCCCGATCCCTGGCACCCTCCATGGGGCTGAAGCTGAGAGCCATGGGGCTGAAGCCCCAATCCCTGGTATGCCTCCTCCCCTCGCTGAAGCCGGGAGCTGCGGGCGCTGAATGCCTGAGCCCTGGCAACCACCGCGGGGCTAAAGGCAGGAGCCGCGGGGCTGAATCCCGGATTCCTGATGCTCCCTGTGGGGCAGAAGCTCCTGAGCCCATGGGCAGAGTTGGGGGGCATCGGGAATGTTGCCCCTCCCAAACTGCTGTGCAAGTGCAGGGCAGTCCAGGGGGAAGCTTTACACCCCCCACAGCTCCTGCCTTCAGCCCCGTGGGGGTCGCCAGGGCTCAGACATTCAGCAACCACAGCTCCCGGCTTCAACCGGGGGAGGACGGGTGCCAGGGATTGGGGCTTCAGCCCCAGGGCAGGGCTGGGGGGGGAATCAGGGTTTCAGCCCCGCAGGGGGAACTGAGCTCAAGCTCTGGGTTTCAGCATTGGCGCCCAGTGACCCCCTGAAAGGGCTTGCGGCCCCTCCCCTTGAGAACTCCTGCTTTAGATTTCACATGGAGAGGGGTCACACACACCCCTACCCCATCCTCCCTCCCCCAGGGCTGCCTCTCCTCCTATCTGATGTTGCCTCTCCACCCAGCCTGAGGCCACCACCTGCCCTCACTGACCGGCCACCACCTGCCCACACTCACCCACCTGCTGCAAACAAGAGGCAGCTGGGGCTGTGCTGACTGACCAGCAGGGGAGCAGAAAATACCAGACAACTTACCTGTTTTTGTTTGTTTGTTTGTTTTGTTTTTAAAGGTGGGACATCTGCAAGAGGGCTTAAATACAGGACTGACCTGTTAAAAACGGGATGGATGGTCACCCTATTTTTAATGGCTCGCCTCCTTCTCTCCCTGCCCCCTGGCCAGTTCGAGGCAAGGAGCCGCACAGAGTGGAGCTGGTGCCATGGAGTAGGCAGCCGTGGTGTTCCCTCCTCTTCTGCTGGTGCAGGGGGTAGAAGCTACTCCTTAGCTCCCAGCCCCCTTTTTTTCATGCAGCTGGTAAGAGCTGGAGGGGTGGGGGACCTGGCGCCATGGCCGGCAGAGCCCTCAGAGAACAGGGACCATAGGGGAGCCCTCCTGCCACACGGCCTCTAGCCACCCCTTCCCTGTGCTAGCCCCCTGCCCAGACACAGTCCCTACTTACCCCTTCCCTTCACCCTGAGCTACCCCCTGCTGCACCCTGAGCTGTTTTCAAACTTTTTGAGCTGAACTCCCCACCTTTTGGGTTATAATTTTGGGTTGCGCCTTTCCCCCCCTGCCACAACCAAGACAGGCTGGGTGGGCTGCTGAGGTGAATCAGGGGGTACAGGTGGCACTCCCTCCCTGGACCCACCATATGGAGCTGGCTTGAGCCCCACTGGCCCCTGCCCCCAAAATAGAAGTCGTACTATGCCTATGCCCGAGGCGCCACGCCAGCCCAGCCCCCAAAGCCCCCCCTTCCCCTACTGGGCCCTGGAGTTTTTATAGCATGTTTGTTTTTGAGAGGGGGTACTGCAGAGTTCTCATTGATTGATTGCCATTAAACTCACTTGAATTTGAACAGTTTTACCAGGTGTCCTATATTCAGCATAGGGAAATATGGTCACCCTACTTTAAAAGCTGGCCATGCAGACTCCTCTAACATTACAGCCATGTGACTAGGTGAGGCCCACCATCAGTTAATAGGGATAAAGTGGACCCCATGACATGGAAGGCAGCGTCCTTTCCTCAGATATACTCGCCAAAAAGAAAAAGGCAAGAAACATGCCAAATGTCCCTGCTCCAAAGCATAGACACAAGAGCTTCTCAATGAAATGGATGTAAGCCTATTTTTTAACATGGGCAAACCATGTTGTTGGTTTTTTTTTCTCTCATCTTGGCAATAGCCAAAACACTTTAGCTTACATTTTCCAGAAAAATTCAGCCTGAGGCTGGAAGTTTTCAGCCCAAAAGGCTGAAGTGTGGCCAAGTTATAATCAACTGAAAATCGAGGTTTCCAATAGAAAGTGTCAGGAAGCCTTAACTAGTAGCAGCACTACTTGTGCTGACTAGAATAAATGGTCTGGCAACTAATTGATATTTCTTAGTCCAGTGAATGAAGTGTTAAGTTATAAAGTGGAGGAATATTAACCCCAAGAGAACTAGATAATTGCCATGTGGCTGCTATTATGCTTTTATGAGGGAAGGCTGGGACACATTGCTAGGTCAGGCTAGATGCATGGCAGAACCATCGTGGAGATTTCTAGTATCCTCAGCCAATGGGATACAGGAAAAAGAGATTCTATAGAAAGGAATACAAGGAAGAAAAGTATGACTGTTGGACTGAAAAATGTGTTAACTTCACTTTTTTAAAAGGTTCTGACAGCAAAGGAGGAACAGTGTGATTTTGAAGTCTGTTCAAAGCTTGGAAAGATGGAAAAGGGTCAGTATACATAGTTCTAAAGTAGATTTTCTCCACGTAAAACTGATACAGCAACATCTAAAGTCAAGTAAAAGTGACTGCATCCTGTTTTGTGAGCTACGAATATGTCTGATTCACCCAACAGTGAATGAAGAAATTGGAACATTAGTGCATAACTGAAATACTTTTAATTGCTTTTATCTAAAAAGATTAAAGTTAGCATCTCCTTAGTGATTAATCCTCTGTTATTTTTTCATTGTCTCATTTCTGCTACTATTGGCATATCCAAAAACATAAAAAGCCAATTTTGCGAAGAGTGGTAATTGTAAAAAAACATAGACAGTTTAGCAATGCTGCTAAGAACACAACAGCATAAGCCTATGAATAAGCCCATAGTATAAGGTGATCGTTCCAGATATAGTTTTTTCATTTGCTTCCTTTCTCATTCCTTTGGACCATGATTAGCTTGAAAATATTTTGTAAAATATTTTGACATGAATTAGTCCCTGCCCTGGAAGTTCAACCGTAGTCTCTTACTAGACTCTTTACCCTCTTAGTGCCAGACTGTCCTGCAACTCCACAGGGGCATTGTAGTGATAGGAGTCTGCACCCCCACCTGTCCCTCTGTAGCAGCAGGGCACAGATTAAGTCTCTGTGGTTTCCAGAAACATCCCCACCTCCTGGGGCACAAGATACCCAATGAGGTAAAGCAGCTGCCACACTCCCTATGGAGCTTGCCTCTGACAGTACAGCACCACACTGTGCCCATCACAGGGCTGCATTTTAATAGCACAATTTAGGCCTTTGAGCATGAATATAATTCCCATGGGTTCGACCAGGAGATAGCACCTATTCTGAGAGGAGAATAGGCACTTTATAATGTACTGCACAATGAACTAGCTAACCTTTACTACTATAAATAGTGTCTTAAAATTATTTATAAATTGGGTTAGTGTTATTTTAAGGTGGTGTGCATGCAGTATATGAGAGGTTGGTTGGTTTGTTTGTTTGTATCTAATTTTTCTCAGTCTAACCTCATTTTGTAGACATTGAATCATCACTGAGCAGTCAGTCCCCCGGTTACTCTCCAAAGCAAACAGACAGTTGTTTCTGTACTAGTTCCGAGATGGTAAGCAATACAATTTTATCTTTCTTATATTTTTATTATTATTATGCTTTTTATTTGTACGAGCTCATCACCATGCTATCTCATGCCAAAGCACATGCAGATGAACTTGCTGTATTACCTTAGTTATTAGCTTTTTTTTTATACAAGCAAAAATCACTTGTGAGAAATATAAAAAAGAATCCACTTTAAGCTTTAAAATAGCATAGGCAAGCAGTCATTTACATTATCTGTAAGTGATATTGGACCATTGGGAATTTTGATAATATCTAATGAAATACAGTTCCACTCAGTTCCTTATATTGCATAACTGTTCGTGAACAAGAAGATCATAGGTCTGGCCTTTTCACTTTACTTACTGTAGTTGTGGTAGCAACTTATTGGATTTATGTACAACTGCATTCATACAAATCTATTTGTGCAGTCTGAAGAGGACTACCTAGCTGAAAAGTGTCTTTCTGACAGCTCCTTTCAAGTAAACAGTGCCAATCCAATTGCAGCTTCAACAAGCAAAGGACCACAACATAGCTTTGGCACAGAGAGTTTGTTTTTCCCTCCCTGCACTGGTGTTGCTATGAAAGAAGCCAACACTCCTAAACAGAAAGAGCCCAGTTTACAAGCAACAGAGGAGGAAAATAAAGACCAGCCTCAGCACAACTCACCACACATATCATTTAAAAGGAAGAATATTAATCTGAGAGAAAGATGTGATGCTTGGTCACAAACTGAGAGCCCCCCTGTAAGGGTAGAAAAATTAAATGCTGCCATACAGTGTGATATAATACAAGCATGTTGCTGTAGAAATCATCTTTCCTCTGTCCACAGTGCTGAACTACTAACTAATGTTAGTAAAGCAGATACCACTGGAGGGCAGGAAATTACAGCCGATGAGGCATTTCAGTCTTCAGGAACAGACAGTGCAACAATTATTGCAGAATTTCCTCCTGAAACTGGGTATCTGACTTTGCCTGACAAGATGACTGTAGATGTACTGAACTACATTAACATAATGAAAAAGAGAGAAGAGAACAACTGAATACAAAGGAGAACCTATTAAATATATTGTGGGTACATCAAAGAGCCCTGTACTCTTAGGGGATTTTATTAATTCCACAGTACATTATTTCCTTTTATTTGGTACATTTGGTTTTAGTTGTTGGACAAGATATTCTTTTACAAATTATTATTAATGTACTCTCAATATTTTATAGTAGCTTATTGAAAATAGCCCTTATTCATTAGATACACTTCCACAATACAGTTATAATATTTTGTGGTTTGGGATGGATCCTGTTCTTATTGAAGTCAATGTAAATACTCCAGTTAACTTCCAAGGGCATTGGATAGGGCACTTGGTGCACAAAAACATATACATGGTTATACACCCATTTTAACACACACACACACACACACACACATATATGCAATTTTGGTATGATTTTTAGTAAAAAAAAACAAAAAAACAAAACCCCCAAACCAGAAAAGTCATATTTATGCACACAGAATAAATTAAAATTACTTCAACATATTAAAATGAGCAGTAATGTTTATGCTCTGATTGCAAATACAGATTCATCTTTTTTGTAGTTTGCCTGCTGATTAAAATGCTGCGTTCTAACCTTTTCTTATTTAGTTCAGTATTTGTGTTAATCCATAAATCTTGAAAAATAAAGAGTTGTATTTCCTATAACACTGTTTACATTTATTTCCCCTCCCCTTCCCCACCACCAAACACACACTTTAAAATGTAGTTCTCGTGAAAGGGACCAGGCAGACTACAACTGAAATCCTCTATTTACCTACATGACCAACAGTAGAAGTGCACATCTCCCATCAGTATAGCTCAATCTTGTTCAGAAAAGGCCACCTCTAGAGTTGTCTCCATTTGCTTTCAAGCTTTATGCTCCTGACTTCTTGGAGTGATCACATTTGTTGAGAAATGAGTTTAGTCAAAAGATGCATTAGCAATTGTTCTGTGAACAGTCCGGTGGGTTTTCTTTATAAGGGTAATATGCTGTGGCTTCTCCTGTTGGTGACCCCTGTTGCAAGATTCACTAAGTCTACCCCTATGAGGTCAGTTTCTCCTCTTACCATGTTTTGACTAGAAAGGATTCCTGGCTGAAGGGATGTGGGCAATCCCACACTGCTAAAATCCCTTTCCATTGTAAGCAGAACATTATTTATCCCCAGGCCCATGGCTAAGCTATAGGTTGCACTTTCTACATCATTTTATTTTTGGAGCTAAGGGACACTTACCTAGAGCTATTTTTAAAAGGAGGTTGACAGTTCTCAGGAATGTGCGGGTTTAGGGCTAGGATGTTTCTAAAAGAGTGCTTGTCAGAAATTTCATTGGATCTTTCAGCACTTTGAGAGCACCAAAATTTAGGGTATTGGCCTTTTCACATTCACAAATCTTGTGTGGGATGGGGTTTGTACAGCCAGACTTCTGAAATATGGGGCCAGTATTCAGCCAGAACAGAGCCTGATTCCTGGGGCCAGACATAAACAGATTTTCTTCATTCACATTATCTCAATCGGACTTCAAAGAACACAAGCTTCCTTGTAATTTTCTTACCTGAAATTACAATGATGATCTTCCTCAGAGGGAGGTATGATTAGCTGAATCATATTTATGATTTGCTAAAAGCACAGTCTTAACATATCGTCTGAAATACTTTCCCTACAGTTCCTGACAATATTTAGTAAAAATGTGATATACCATATCACAACTATGGGCTAGTAGTCTGTAAGGTGTTGTGTTGTAACAGGGACATAATTACGCTGCACACACCCCTGCAAAACTTGTGCAGACTATGTCACATGAAAGAGGTTTTAAGTGTTGAGGTTTTAAGTCTCTGTATCCTCGACTTTCTTTTGAGAGTCAATTATATGGTATCAGAGTACCTGTAGATAACAGATATGTTGGTGTGTCTGAAGAATCTAAGTGTGTAGGTCCATGGGTTTCTTGTATACAGTCCTCTGTCTGGTTCCATATTGAAGCTGATCATGGTGTCTAGGAAGTTGATGCTGGTGTGGGAGTGTTCTAGAGAGAGTGATGCCTGGGTGATGGTTGTTTAAAGTTGTGGTAGAAATGTATGAGGGAGTTTAGGTAGGGGATACACATTTAAAACCACCTTCACTAAACAAAGATGCTCCACCAGAGAAGTAGATTGCATCATGGAATATGCCACCTGAATACACTGGGAGAATCTGCTTTAATACAGGGTGAAAAAACCCCTACTAATCAGACACCCGAAGTTGTCACCTATCACCCCACACTAGAACTCAGATGGGCTATCACCAAAGAGTTACAATACATACTTGAAAGGGACTGCATCCTGAAATAATTGTTTTCCAAGCCCCCTCTTTTGGCCTTCAAACGAGCTCCACATCCTCATCATCAGAAGCAAGCTCTGCACAGACCAGGATACACGAACGCAAAGTGGCACCGGTCCCTACCCGAACAACAGATGCAAAACCTGAAGATGCATCTTCACTACTATGATGCTCAATACCCTCCCCCGCAACACATCTTTCAAGGTCCCTGGGTCCCACACATGCCGATCATAACTTACGATGTACTTCATCCAGTACATCAAAAGCCCCACAACAACAATGTGGCTGAAACCAGACAATCATTGCACTCTTGAATGAACTTACACAGCAAAATGATAAAAGACAAAAACACCATATCATCTGTGGGCAAACACTTTTCACAAAGCCATCATGACATATCTGAACTCTCAGTCCTCATCCTCAAAAGAATCCTGAACAACACCTTCAAAAGACAAGTCTGGGTCCTTAAATTCAGAACTCTGCTGGACAATAAAAACCATAGACTAAACAGCACCACTACTAATTGTCTGGCTCATTACAACAATTTGTAACACACACTGCTGCCTGCAAACTCTTAATTGCCCACTTCATGTTAAGTGGCCTCCTGGAACATGTGCAGAACCCCTGCTGCTTAACAAGCTGTCCCACCTTGTATTTAGGTTGGATACTCTGGTTACCTTCCCTAGACCTGAGGAAGAGCTCTGTGAAGCTCGAAAGCTTATCCCTTCCACTAACAAAAGTTAGCCCAATAAAAGATATTACTTCACCTACCTTGTCTCTCATATTTACCTGTCAGTTTTTTCAGTTGCTTGTGTCATACATCATGCATGTCTTTACATGCCACATGTTTTTTTGGCTCTGTTCTAGGTATTAGGCTGTGCCATTCTACCACAACTATCCTTTGACATGTCGCAGCCAAATGTTCCTGAGTGACATATTTTACAATTGGGCTGCTGATTTAGCTGGAAAATGCAAAAATCCCATGTGGCCAGGGAATTCTCTAGTGACTACGCTTGGGCAGATGCTGAAGAGTACAAGTTATTCTGACTTTAAGGTTGCAATTAAAAATCTGCCACTATGGGGACCTAGTTCAGATAGCGTAGTCGAGGTTTTTTTAGATTTGTTCTTGTTCTCTTAATACAGCACCACCCACTTTTGGACAAAAGTGTCTGACCTGTAGGCCTAAACTTTCTGCAGGACAGCACTCTACCTTGGTGCAGCGCACCTGCTACTGTAAAAAGAAAGGCATATTTCAGAGCCATACAGTACAGATGTGAGAGCATCATAGAGACCTAAGCATGGTAGCTTTAAAAGAGGCAAAACTGCTTGATAAAAATAAATGTAATGTAAATATAAGACCTTAGAGCCTTGCCGTAGGCTGGACGTTTTTCATAAATTATACTACTAATTTCCGTGGCAAGTCAGTTCATTGTTACTGATGCTGGCAGTGCAAAGAAGCCATAAAGCTGTTTTAACCAGCTTCCTGAGGATTCCCCAGCATAAGGCCAATCACTGCTTTGTGCAGATTGGTTTGAGAGTTCTTAACCAACCTAGGGGTAGTGGCTGAGGGGAAATACCTGGATACCAGATAGGTGCCTTGGTGCTCCGGGTAGTTTAGAGCCAGCTTGAGGCTGTTCAGAATTGCATGGGGGAGGGACAAACTGGCTCCAAGATTGGGAAGCTGCAAAGCTTTGTACCTCCCCTCTGCTCCAGTAGCCAGCACAGCTCATTCTGTCCAAAATGTCCTTACCAGTTTACTTAGTTTTCAGTTTAGGCTAAATGACCTTCCAGTTAAGACTGAAAACATGCAGCTCAATGGAAGAAACAAGCATTGTACTGAGTATATGCAGGAGAGAGAGAATGTATTGTGTGAATAACCTGTCAAACACAGGTCTAGATGTCTATAACATGTAATAATTCTGTGCCAGGACTGTGTCTATCAAAATAAAAGGAGTACTCGTGGCACCTTAGAGACTAACCAATTTATTTGAGCATAAGCTTTCGTGAGCTGCAGCTCACTTCATCAGATGCATACTGTGGAAACTTATGCTCAAATAAATTTGTTAGTTTCTAAGGTGCCACAAGTACTCCTTTTCTTTTTGCGAATGCAGACTAACACGGCTGCTACTCTGAAATCTATCAAAATAGATAACCTTATTCCAAACCCTTTGGATGAGAGCATGTCAAATCCAATTACTCACTCTTCAATGCTTCTCACTTATAATGCTAAACCAATGAGAAGAAATAAATTGATTTTTCTAGTTATAAATATGGCAGCATGTTTCCTTGAGCCACTGCAAAGGTATTTTAAAGTATTTATACTCAGATAATGCATATAAGCGAATAATTCAAATACATTTGCCATAACATTCTATCCAAGTTAAAGAATATACAAAAGCTTAATAATAGGTATGTGTCTTACTCATCTATTTCTTCATTCTGTTCATGTGCATCCCGAAGGGAAGCAAATCACATTTAATATCCTATTGCGATCTCTAAAAACGTAAAGACATGCTGTAATGGAGTCCACAAGTAAGGCTTATTAGCTAGCACAGACAGTCATGCCTTGTAACCTAATCTCAGCATTTGTACTACTAACCTTTTCTTGAAACCCTGTTTGCACCACAGGAGTGTTTATTTACAGGCAGGATCCCAAATAGACTGGACGCTGCTGAAATCTGCTATGTCTGTCATCTCAAA